CCTGTTCTGAGTTTCCAGAGTGTTCCGTCTACGTCGAGCCTCCTCCAGCTCTGCCTCGGCCTCCACCAGTTTCTGTCTGTAGCTCTCTTCCTGGACACACAACATCTTGTTTTCATTCTGCAGACGCACAACTGTCTCCCTGTCGAGAGGTAGAGAAGAGGAGTCAGGGCAGGGGGGCAAAAAACGGAATCTTATTACCCCACTGTTCCTTTATGTTCAGACCAAATGTGTTTCCATCTGTCAGAGCTGCACAAACAAGTCCCAGCTTAGATGGGCTGCAGTACACATGGGCCACTTCAGAGGGATACAGTACACATGGGCTACTTCAGAGGGATGCAGTACACATGCGCTCCTTCAGAGGGCTGCAGTACACATGGACTACTTCAGAGGGGTGCAGTACACATGGGCTACTTCACAGGGCTGCAGTACACATGGGCTACTTCAGAGGGGTGCAGTACACATGGGCCACTTCAGAGGGCTACAGTACACATGGGCCACTTCAGAGGGCTGCAGTACACATGGGCCACTTCAGAGGGCTACAGTACACATGGGCCACTTCAGAGGGCTACAGTACACATGGGCCACTTCAGAGAGGTGCAGTACACATGGGCTACTTCACAGGGCTGCAGTACACATGGGCTACTTCAGAGAGGTGCAGTACACATGGGCTACTTCAGAGGGATGCAGTACACATGCGCTCCTTCAGAGGGCTGCAGTACACATGGCCCACTTCAGAGGGCTGCAGTACACATGGGCCACTTCAGAGGGCTGCAGTACACATGGCCCACTTCAGAGGGCTGCAGTACACATGGGCCACTTCAGAGGGATACAGTACACATGGGCTACTTCAGAGGGATGCAGTACACATGCGCTCCTTCAGAGGGCTGCAGTACACATGAGCTACTTCAGAGGGCTGCAGTACACATGGGCCACTTTAGAGGGCTGCAGTACACATGGGCCACTTTAGAGGGCTGCAGTACACATGGGCCACTTCAGAGGGCTGCAGTACACATGGACTACTTCAGAGGGGTGCAGTACACATGAGCTACTTCAGAGGGCTGCAGTACACGTGGGCCACTTCAGAGGGATGCAGTACACATGAGCTACTTCAGAGGGGTGCAGTACACATGGGCCACTTCAGAGGGCTACAGTACACATGGGCCACTTCAGAGGGCTACAGTACACATGGGCCACTTCAGAGGGCTGCAGTACACATGGACTACTTCAGAGGGGTGCAGTACACATGGGCCACTTCAGAGAGGTGCAGTACACATGGGCTACTTCAGAGGGCTGCAGTACACATGGGCCACTTCAGAGGGATGCAGTACACATGCGCTCCTTCAGAGGGCTGCAGTACACATGGCCCACTTCAGAGGGCTGCAGTACACATAGGCCACTTCAGAGGGATGCAGTACACATGCGCTCCTTCAGAGGGCTGCAGTACACATGGCCCACTTCAGAGGGCTGCAGTACACATGGACTACTTCAGAGGGGTGCAGTACACATGGGCCACTTCAGAGGGATGCAGTACACATGCGCTCCTTCAGAGGGCTGCAGTACACATGAGCTACTTCAGAGGGCTGCAGTACACATGGCCCACTTCAGAGGGCTGCAGTACACATGGACTACTTCAGAGGGGTGCAGTACACATGGGCTACTTCAGAGGGGTGCAGTACACATGGGCCACTTCAGAGGGCTACAGTACACATGGGCCACTTCAGAGGGATACAGTACACATGGGCTACTTCAGAGGGATGCAGTACACATGAGCTACTTCAGAGGGGTGCAGTACACATGGGCCACTTCAGAGAGGTGCAGTACACATGGGCCACTGCTGATGACATCACTGAGGGGCAGTGTTTTTCAGTTTCACACACACAGTCATTAACCACAGACGTACTTGAGCTCCGTGGGCATGATCTCTGCAGCCAGGTTTCCCACGGTGACCCCACTGTCACACAAGCCCCCTGTGGAGAGAGAGGAGAACTGCCATCAACCAGTGTCATGACCCAGGCCAACCCTGGACCCCAGACTGGTTGGAATCAAACCCCCCACAGCTGTCACTCAGTGGATTTCTAACGATGCCTCCACTGACTGAGTAAATCTTAGAGAGCCCACCTGTCCCACTGAGACACCTCTGTTGGACCTGTGCACACCTCAGTTCGTCGTTGGTTTCTCTCAGCGTGTCTCGCTCCGTGATCAGACGCTAGAAAGAAAACACAAGCCAAAGTGACGTCAGCGTCACATGACATCACTAACGCACCTGGGAGGACCGCCATCGTCACCCACTCACCTCCTTCTCCTTCAGCAGAGCCTCGTACTTGTCATGAAGGTTCTTGTACTCAAACTGCCACTTCTCAGCTTTCATGGCCTCTGCTGAATGTTTGGTGTGGAGCTCGTGAGCCTGCAAGTCAAGGAGCAGGGCAGAGCGTTCAAAGGAAGGAGTGCTTCAGTGGTGTCCAACACGGTGACCTCCTCACCTGTCTCTTGTAGGTGTCCAGCTGGGTGCGGACGGCGTTGGCCCGGCGCAGCTCCTCCTCCAGCTCACAGGTGCGCTGCATGTACACAGTGTTGCGCTCCTCCAGGAGGCGCACCTGTCTGCGCAGATCTCCCAGATCCTCCAGCTTCCGCTTGTACGTCTCCACCAGAGCTTCAAGCTGGTTCACGCGGTTTGATGAATGGGGGGGGGGGGGTGAGTATGAACGCAGCACGTCAGAAAAGAAGAACATGAACAGTCAGAGAGGAGTTGATGGACGTCTGTGTCTCACTGAAGACCAGGGACAACATGGACTAGAACCAGGTTCACATTAGTTCATTATGAAGGACTGATGACCCTGACTCAGAGAGGAGGGTGAGGGTCTGGACCAGAGAACCTTGGAGAACATAGGAGGAACATCAGAGGCACCACCTGACGGATGAAACGCCATCAACTCCCTCCATAAAAAAAAAACAATAAGGTGCGGGGGTCAGCTCAGGTCAGGTCAGGTCAGGTCAGGTCAGGGCCCGGGCCTCACCTGAGAACGTCCATCTCGTCTTTTAGGGCCTGCGCCTCCTGTGCCAGGTTGGTCAGCTCCTCGTTACGGAGCTGCAGGTCGTTCACCTCCCGCTCCAACATTTCTGACCTCAAACGCACATCATCTCTGCTATTCTCCAGTCTGAGATACACAGGTCAAGGTCAAAGGTCACACATCAGACATCATTAAACCTTTCACATCAAAGGAGAGGTTATTCAGGAATATCCTAAAACAGAGCATTTCAAAGTGTGCGCCGCATCGCCCATAGGGGGCGCCAGAGCGCTGAAGGAGAAGAGGAGAAAAAACAGCCAACATGAAGAGGAACAGATGGATGTGTTACACAAACAGTAAAAAAGAAGAACAGAGGAAGAAAAAAAAAACTCAATTTGAAGAATAAAGAACGTCTTCAGTGGTGGACGACTAAGCTGAACAACTCTGAACTACTGCAGTAGTACTGCGCGTTTGTATTGGATCAGTGTAGCCATGTAGTACCTGTAGTTTTCCTCCTGCAGCTGCTCCATCTGACTCTGCAGCAGCAGCAGCTTCTTGCCCGTGATGGCAGAGGTTTCCAGAGAGTCGCGCCGACTCAGCTTCTCCTTCAGGTTACGTGTCTCAGTTTGAAGAGACGACTTTTCCTCCAGAACTGCAGACAACTGAGGGATGAAGTAGAAAATCACGTTCAAAGTTGTGTTGGTTGATAAAAGACTAAGTGCAGCGCGGTGGCCCAGAGTCCCGACCCGAGTGCAGCTGAGCTCAGCTGCTCAACAGTGGAGCTGTTGTTCTCATTAGCCCACGGTCAAAGCCACATCTCAGTGATATAAATAGAAGAATATGTTCACCGCGGACCATCAGTCTGTTTCAACTAGTCCTGACCAGACCAGACTAAACTAGACGATCAGGATCCTGGATCAGATCAGATCTGTCAGTCTTTTCATTTCATTGCCTTTTTATATGGGTTTTTGAGGATAGTCTTACTTTCAGTGGAACATGTGAGCACGCTGTTGTCTGTAAATACACCGTTCAGTCACACTGTCATTTCCAACAACATGTTTCTGGATTAAATCATATAATAAAAACATAATTAAAAAAATTAAAGAAAATGTCCTATAGAAGAGGCCAACCTGATGTTCCAGGTCCTGGCAGCGCTGGTTCAGGTCGGCCTTTTCATCGGCCTCTTCACTGAGAAAATAATATTTCCTGGACTGGAGCAGCAGACACAGGTTATTAGACCACAGCAAAGACTCAGTGTCAGTCAGTAGAACAATGGAAGTGGACGGACGTGGAACTGTGACCACGGAGACAACGTCTCTTTCACTACACTGACATGAGACTCAATTTATGGAACAACGGCCCAAATATTTTGGACCAGTACAGAAACTGGGTCCGGGGCCACAGATTAGAAACAGCCGAGCCTGAAGAAGAAGAAGAAGAAGAGAGAGACTGCAGCTCAGACCTGGTAGTCGAAGTCTCCGTACATCTCTGGGCTTCCTGGTTCAGATGAAGGTTCCTTTGACAAGAGCTAAGGAGAAAAAAAAATGACAAAAATGATTCTTGACACAAAGACTCTGATGACTGCCTGAACGTCTCTGTGGGTGAGATGTTGGACAACGTCCACACAGACCACAGCTCACAGACCACAGCTCACCTCCTGAATGGCCGTCATCACCACATGTTGAACCGACTCCTCCAGTGTCATGATCTGCTGAATCTGTTCTGTGTTGGGGAAAAAAAAACAAAAAAAAAACACAACGTCACACTGATGATACGACCACATCCTGATGATTCTAACTTCAGCTGTCTTCACACAGGTGCCTCTGTGAACGTCTGTGAACGTCTGTGAACGTCTGTGAACGTCTGTGAACGTCTGTGAACGTCTGTGAACGTCTGTGAACGTCTGTGAACGTCTGTGAACGTCTGTGAACGTCTGTGAACGTCTGTGAACGTCTGTGAACGTCTGTGAACGTCTGTGAACCTCTGTGAAGGTCTGTGAAGGACTGTGAAGGACTGTGAAGGAGGCAGCTCCACTGTGTTCTCAGTACAGATTGATTATATAATCAAAGTGATCACTGGTCTGATTAAAGACACATTTTGACTCCACACCTTGTTTTTTCTCACAGCTGACAGCACAGCCCAGCACCAGCTGCACCAGCTTCCCCAGCTCGGTCACGTCGCCCATCTCTCCCATCAGGTTGACGTCTGGCAGGTGTTCATCCGACACCTGATGACCGAGCACCTGTTCGTGGAGCGCACGGCAGAACAGCACTGAGCATGAAGTAAGGGCAACGCATTAAAATGGTTAAAAAAAAAAACAACCAAACGTCGCGTACATCGTGGTAGTATTCCAGAACGCTCTTGAGAATCTTCTTCAGGTTGCTGACCTAGACAGGACACAAAGACAGACAGGGTAGTTGGGTAACGGAACCCAAACGTCTTAAATTCTGCTCATCTGTCCTTTTCCAAATCACCTTGAGGCGCCAGTTGGCCGCGCTCTCCTCCTTGATTCTGCCGAGCCAAGTGTCATTAAACCAAGAGGGGTCTCTGTTAACGAGAACAAGAGGAGAAGAACACGTGACTGGACGTGGAGACTCGCAGGAGGCCACGGGGTCAACAACAGAACGTGTCACGGCCTTGAACAACACCAACACCAACAACACCGTACGGTAACGCCCTTACATTCTGTGGAGCACATGTGCGATGGCCACGCCACTTGTCAGGTCCTGCTTGCTGTTGCATGATGGGACTTGGAATGTCTGTAGCTGAGAGTGAAGGGAAGTGAAAGTGAAGTGAAAGGAAAACAGACTGTAAAGCACGGCAGCAGGGAACGGATCAGGGGCTCAGTGTGTGTGATCGACAACCAGACAGATGACGTCACATGATCTTAATGTGCTTATTTTATTCATTTCCACTTAACAGAATAAAGTCATGTGGATACTGAGGTCAAACATTCGTGTTAATACTCGGTTGGTTTAGTGTAGGTTCAGGTCTGAATCTGCTGCGAACCGAATCCAACGTCAACCGACTCTTTAAACGTCATGTCCAACGGTCTGACGTCACCTGAGCCGAGTACCCATTAACGTGTTAAGATGCAAAACATTTAATTCATGAAGTTTTGGTGCCGACAACCGTCAGTGCTTCAGTCACGGACCGTATGTTGAGCTGTGTCTTTACGGCCAGTCAACACTCACTTCGTCAACACAGATAACAGACCAACAGACCCCGAGGGCAAACTTCCAAAGTGGCTTCTTAGCCACTTAGCTTAGCCGGCTAACGACAGTTGGAGAGACGTCACTAAAACAGAGCTTCAGCGCCTGTCAGTGGCCGCTGTACAACGAACACACTTCAACAACAGTTGTGGATCTTTAACTCATTTGTTAAATCGTTTTGACTTCGTCTACACCTGCTGTCACCTGTTAGCCGCAGTTAGCTTCCAGACTTACCCAGGTGAACAGGGAGTCACACAGCTCCGCCTTGTCCACACTCATCGTTCACTCGAGCCTCCAGCAGCTGACCGGGAAAGCGGTGGGTTTTCACACTTATATTCCACCAAAAGTTTGTCACTCACTCACTCCTCTCCACGTCACTCATCGTGCAGCCATGGCCTCCGCTCTCACCGCTGCCCCGTCCCGGTTGCTGCTTCGCCTTTCAGCTCCCGTTTTCCCAGCGAGCTTCCGTATTTAGCTCGTTCCCACGGACACGGATTATGTCAGCGGTCGGATTATTGATTATTATTGATCATTAACACAACCGTGAAAAAACATGAATTAAAAGTTAATGAAAACGTTTAAAGAACCTAGAAATAATGTAACACCAAAATACAACAACAAATTAAACTCATTCTTTCGAGTTTTACTTTAAGTATTCCTACATTTCTGTGTATTCTCAGCGACTTTATGTAACTTTGTGGTACCTCTGAATTTTAATGGACGTAATAAAATAAAATAAATTGTTTATGTGCACAAACAATTGTTGAATAATGTGAAAAGTTTTTATTTTATTTTGAATACATTAAGTTTTTAGGCTTTGTTTACTCATTTGAACATGAAGTGTATCTTAAAGGTTTATTGGTGTAAGTTGTTGATTATATCTGCCCTCAGTCACCCCTGCCCTTGTGCTTCTGCCCCCCGTCTACAATCAACATGAATTGAAACAAACTGTCTACAAGCTTCAGTCATAACAGTGGATTCAACCTCTGGCTCCAGACTTAACTTCTGTTCTTGTTTAAATGACGGCTGAGCAGTTAATTGTGGCTAAAGTACAGCTTTTACAATATGAACACACAATCAAAGTTCCTTCAGCTACCACTAGGTGGCAATAGTCGACATATCTGTAAAAAAAGGGCCTGTTGCAAAAGCATGTATAAACCCGACAAGTCAACGCTCACCTACTGTGACTGCTGTCAAACGTCATTTCCCCTCAGTGACGTGAGCAGAGCTACAGTTGAACTGGGACTTCATGTTGTTGTTGTTGTTGTTGTTGTTGTTGTTGTTGTACGTCTGTACGACGGGACCAAGGGTCCCACGTGACCCCATGTTGGACCACAGTGAGTGAGGTCACAGTGCAGTGACTGACATGCTGTCACCCACGTACACACGTACGTTTCCTCAGTAATCTATCTCCCTGTCCAGGCGTAGGCTCTCAGCCTCGTTGGTTTCCTGTGCACGTCGACCTTCATTGACCAATCAGGGCAAAATACTGCCCACACACTTCCTGTCTGCTCGCTTTTCAAGTGCATTCTGTGAGTGTCTGTGGGCAAACACCTGTGTAAGAGGAATGATCTGCCATTTCCAGAACGTCACATTTAAAACCCTGTTTGTTGCCCTCCCCCCCCCGCCCCCCCCCCCCCCCTCCCCTCCTCACCCAAACAAAAAAAAAAAAACAAAAC